CTCAGCACAGCTGGTGCCGGGCGCTGGGCTAGACATCAAAGACAGAAAGAAGACCCACACAGTCCTTCTTAGTAAATTCTCTCTCACGGGAGAGCAATTGATGTGAAAACTCCTGATGTGACAGACGCTAGAGGAGAAGTTTAAATAAAATCATGCGGACGTAGATTAGAGAGGGACTAACTTTCTACTCGGGGGGAATCTCGGAAGGGCGGAGGTGATGTTTTACTTGGCTCTGAAGGGGATTCTCCTAGTAGTGGAAGGAGAGGAGGAGAAGGCCGGGCGGAGGAGTAGCTCGAGGCAAAGTCCAGGGCTGGCCTACGGGACGCTGGGATGGGCCAGGGAGAGGGCCTGGCACGTCCGCTAAGACATGTCCATCCTCACGGAAGAAACAGGAGCCTGAAAGCCCATTACTGTTGGTTTCGTGGGTAAAATGCCACGCTGTTTCCCTAAGTGAGACTTCCCACTAACCTGTGCATTTGACATCAACAGTCTAGAAAAGAGTAGTAATACTTGCTCTTAAATTGAGCCCAGGAGAGAGAAAGCCTACCATATAAAAATGCAGACCAGAATCATCTTTGAATTTGGATAGGTTTACGTCCTCACCCACGTGGATACGTGTCTATCCATGCTTGAATGAAAACATTCACGGGGATATTCAAGCAGAAGAGAGATTCTGCGTTCTAGGGGATCCTGCTGGTTTTAGCTCCGTTTTTCTCTGTGGGCTTCTCTGTACACAGTCAGGTTCCCACAGAGTAGGTACTGAAGGCCCAGGTCTGCTTTGGTCAGCAGCCAGTGGTATCCTGCCACTTCACATCCACGTTTAAGCACCACGGATCCCAGGACACCCTCGCAGGAATCTTGGCCATATCCCAAATCGAAAAACAAACCAGCAAAGATGCGTATTTCTACAGAAGGTGGAAAAGTAAATCAATCAAATTTATCTACTTCTGTTTCCCTGGACCTCGCCCTTCAGATTGCCACCGCTGCCGTGCTGCGCCAGGCTGCTGGCCCAAAGCCCTGTGGGGGGCGGGATGGGAGCGCAGTGAGGACCTGCTGGGTGAGATGAGCCTCTTGGCAAGACATGCAGACTGCTCTGGGGGAGGTTCTGCTTGAAAGAGCCAGAGAAACCAGTAATTTCTTATAATTCAGCAGTAGGCACTGAGCACCAAATCAGCAATTAATGAATCTGCAAAGTCCTTTTAGACCAGAGCATGATGCATAGCAGCGCCCGATCCATCCACACACAGGCGTTTACAGCCTGATGGTTCCAGTACCTTTCAATAGCAATCATTTCGTGAAATAAGAGTACGAATGAAGTATATCTTTGTATCATATATTTTCTTGAATTATCCCTATGAAGGATTTAAAAGAAAAAGGTTTTAAGATTTTTATTATAACGAAACCGGACTTGCAGAGTGTTACAGTATTTTCCTCAGGCACGGAATACCAATGCCGAAGGTGGAAGTCAACATAAATTTCTGGATTGCAGCAAGTGCAATCATTAAACCAATTATGATTTTTATGACTTTTGATTCCTGGTAAAATCTCTGGCTCCTCTGTCCTGGGAAGCATCCATTGAGGATTAGGTAACTTTTCATGTTACATAGCGTCTCATGCCTGTCTCTGAGGCATCTCAAATTTAAGAGAAGAAAATGTATCCACGTGTCTAAACAAACACTGACTTGGTCAGTTAGTAGCTTTTTGAACATTATTTTTTTGAATAATACTTGAAAAGATTACAAATGCAATGCACATTGTAGGAAGTGTGTAAATAGACAAGTACACGAAGCATCAGTCACTGTCTCCTGTCTTTGATCATGCCTACGTCTACATACAGGCCTGTTTTTATATTTCTTTCTTCACCACACTCAGTATCATACACTTTCCCTCATCACCACCCATTCTTTAAAAACCTGACTTTACAAGCAGTAAAGATAACCAGGAGATGGATGGTACCTGACCATTTTCATGGCTGTAAACCTAGAACTCCTCTGTTTACGGCTTCATTAAGCTTGACACTGAATTCCCTGGCACTTCAAAATAGTTTCGTACTATGTTAGAGCACAGCTTGAAACCCTTTTAAAAAAACTATCATTTGGCTGAAATAACTCTGAAGCTCCTTTTAAACAACAAAGTTCCATAGGATTTTAACTGAGGGTAGTTTCAGCAAAACTTTCTTAAAGAAATTCTTCTTTTTCTCTCATAAAAGAGTATTGTAAGAAAGAAATGGGGCAAACAAATCACATAAAGTTTCATTGAGGCTTTTGGTGAAAAATCATAAAATTTTATTTATCACTTTACCTTACTCGACTTAGAAAAGAGTTCATTGATGTCATCAAATTTGATTTGAAGTACAGCGTTCTACGGTGGGAAATCGCTCACCGTGACGTTTCATGGAGGCAGCTAACACCTCGAAAGAAGGGCTATATCATGAATGCTGTCTTCTGATCTGTGACTTCTCTGAACCCAGTCAAATCCTAATCTCACCTGTCATTTAAAAGATTTCAAGCCAGGTCACGCTGCGGCAGAGTTGGAGAAAGGGTTTGGTGTCTGGGCAGATCTCACAAAATGAGACACCAGTGAGACACATGAGCCATCAGAAGGATGTGTTTAGGATCCAAGCAATAGACTGGAGAGAAACTCTTGAAATCAGAGTGTATTCATCTAGGTTTCAAGTTTGCCTTTCTTTTCTTTTCTTTCTCCTTCCTTCTCCCTTCCTCCCTCCCTTCTTCCTCCCTCTCTCCCTCTCTCTCTTTCTCTCTCTCCACCTCTCCCTCTCTTTCTTTTTTTGCCAAGGCTAATTTGTATGAATGGAATTTCATGAATCTGCCTTCCAAAGCTGCCTGGGCCCATCACGGAGGCTCTGAGTCCTCAGGTGGCAGGGGAGACTCGGATGATGATCACTAGGCACCATGTTCCCACCCTCAGGCCCGTCTTCCTTCCCACCTCACTGCGCTGGCTCACCTTCCAGGATGAAGCGGTGCAGGGACTGGGCCCCATGGTATAAGCACTGCCAAAGGAGACCATGAGAAGAACCCATGTACCTCTGTTAGGCATCTTTCATTTGTTTGATACTGAGAATGTTTAGAACCCACAATAGTCTGGCGCCCCTAAGGTCCTGAACTTAGGGTGGGAGCACTGAGGTGGTCCAACGCCTGGCACAGAGGAGCTGCTGGCTGACCGAGGCCTTCCTCGGTGGGAGGCTTCTAAGTGGCTGAATTAAGCACCATGGCTCAGTCCTCCGAAAAGGTTCCTGTGATGCAGGGAGAGACGGAAAACATGGAGCACTGCGCCTTGACCAAGAGACAGAGCAGGGCTGGGGATTCACTTCTCAGAGTGGAAGGTCACCGTCCAAGAGACACCAAGCCGGTATCTCCTAAATTCTGGGCGTGTTTAAGCTGGAACACACGGACCCAGAGGCTGAAGAGAGACCTGGAGCAGCCCTCAAGGACCACCTACAGCTCAAGAACCAGAAACCACAAATATGCTACCCGTGGTGTGTTTAGGTCAAACGCAGGAATTATACTTAATTATAATGTATAATGCAGGAATTATACTTAAAGACACATTCCCATAAATCCTTATCCTAAATAAAATAGTTCCTTTAACCGTCCCTCAAAGTAAAGCTATTTCTAAAATAGTTTAGAAAACAAGTGCTCTGTAACCTAAACAGATTGAATTTTGACTTAAAAACCTGGCAAGACAGAGCGCTGGGAACTCCGTCCTGCTTTCTCAGTCGTCCGCTCCGATGACAGTCGGATCTGGGGTCTGTGCGGCCCTCAGCAGTTGGACATGCGACCACAGCGGCCAGAGGAAAGCTGGACATATGGCCACAGTGACCAGGGCAAGGCTGGCGGGAGAACCACCGTGCCCAGAGAAGATGGGGAGACCTCAGGAGCGGGGATTCCTGGCAGCGGCAGGGCGGGTGCTTTTTCGCTTTACTCCCTTACCTGGGGGCCTGATGGGTGAGCGGTTCTGCCTCCCAGAGCCTCCCAGGGAGAGGGGTGGAGGCTGCTCTGATTCTGCCAAGGCTGAGCCGCAGCTTCGGGGCCTTCACTGCAGGGCCACCTACTTACAGCTGCTTGAGGTAAAGGCCGCTGCATCGTGAACAGGCCTCTCCGGCGGGACAGCTTTCTGAATTCATCGAACTGTCCCCCAGAGCCAAGCATCTAACGTCATTCTGTTGGAAGGGCTGGGAATTCTCAGACTGCTACCCCCGTTTTCCAACAAGAAGTGCAAGGTCGCATATCCACAAGTTCCAAAACGAGCTATAAAATACGTGTTATTTACAAAACAGAAACAGGCTCACAGACATGGAAAACAGATGTATGGTTACCGGGGGGAAGGGGTGGGAAGGGATCAACTGGGAGTTTGAGATTTGCAGATACTAACTACTTCATACAAAACAGATGAACAATCAAGGCCCTACTGTGGAGCCCAGGGAACTTCACTCAGTATCTTGCAGTAACCTACAGTGACAAGGAATACACGTGCATCCAAGTACGGCTGAAACACGATGCTCTACACCAGAAACTGACACAACATTGTAAACTGACTCGACAGGGAAAAAATATACGTGTTGGGTTTCTGTGCCTCTCTCCTCCGTTTCCCCTCTCAGGCCGCACCTATTCTGTGCCTTTGTACCACCTGCAAGGCACCCGCTTGCTCCCCACCGGAACCTCAATAAATGTGAGTCAACACAAAGAATCAGCACCTGCGTCTGACTTGACTGTGAGCTGGCACCCGAGAGCCTGCCGGCGACTCTAGTGGCTCTTTCCTTCTGAAATTTCCTATCTTGGTTTGGCTGTAGAACCAGAGGGGAATCACTGAGTGTTCCACTGTCTCAGCTGTGAAATCCCCACGGAGAAGCTATGCAGACGCATCCCTGCCTTTACGGCGTGTTGGAAAGCCAGAGCCCTGCGCCCGTGTTTGCAGACGGAGCGTTCGCGCAGCTGCGAGGGAAGGGGTAAGTGCATGCAGCTGAGAGTCACCCACGTCACCTGGTCTTGGGATTTCTTCTTCTTCTTCTTCTTGCCCCAGCACCCGGAGCTCTCCGCGTCTTTGCCGTTGGCCTCCCCACAGAGCAGCCCGTCCAGCTCATCCGTGCCCACGTGCTGTCCCTGAGACGTTTCCGCTGCCAGCCGGTACGACAGGTTCCTTAAAATGCACACACAGTTTTCCACGGTCTGGAGAGGCCAGAAAAAAAAAAAAAAGGAAGAGGAATGAATGAAAACTAGCCAGCACTCCTCCACCCGGAAAAGCAATCAATCTTCACGCACACGTTTTTCTCTGGATGCGTTTAGCCGGGGCCCCTAAAGAAGTCTCCCTTGACAGCTGCGGTGGAAAGAGTTTAGAGACGCTTGGAAAAGTCCTGAGACCTTATCTTCCCCTCAAAGAAACTACTTATGAACAATAGTTACTTTTATGAACAGCTGTCACTGTTGACTGAAGTTCACTTGTGAGTGAGGGAGAACCCACAACCACAGGAGGCCCTGGAGGCGGCCCACTCCCGGACCACTGCCGCCTGGGGATGAGGGCTCAACATCACCAAAAGTACGGATAACGGGACTTCCATCAGCTCTGGGAGGGCGACACTAACGCTGACCGTCTGCCAGGGCACTTTCTGGGAGTAAAATGGGGCAAGGGCGGCAAACCGGGCCGTCCCAGGCAAGCCAGCGTCCGTGGCCACCAGGGATGCTGCGGATCCTCCTTGCCACGGCTGGTGCTCCCGTTTCCTTCGCGTGGGGGCTGAACGGTGGTTAAGGACACACGTCATACAGCTGCACGCCTGTGGAGCCTCAGGCCTCTGACTGCTGCTGTGTGACTTGGACGGCGCTCCCGATGTCTCTGTGCCTGAGTAACGCCCTCTGTAAGGTGACCCTAACAGTGCTCACGTCTTACGATGCTGTGTGGTTTAGGGGATTTAAAGTGTTCACGTGCGGTGGGCAGAATAAAGCTCCCCACCCCAAAGACGTTCACATCTTAATCTCCAGAACCTGTGAATGCATTAGGTTATGTGGTGGGGGAGAGTTGACCTTCAGATGGCACGGCTGGGAGGGGACCACGCAGTCGGGCCCAGTGGACTGGACGGAGATCCAGATGGGCCCATGTAATCATGAGGGTCCTATAAGCAAAAGGGGGAGGCAGAAGAGTTAGGGTGAAACAGTGTGGGAAGGACACGACCTGCCATTGCTGGCTTTAGAGATGGAAGAAGGGGCCATGAGCCACGGAATGTGGGCGGCCTTCTAGAAGTTGTAAAAGACAAGGAAACAGATGCTTCCTACGAGCCTGCAGAAGGGATGCAGCTCTGTCCACACACAGATTTTAGCCCAGCAAGACCCATTTTGGACTCCCGATCTCCAAAACGGTAAGATAATAAATCTGTGCTTTTAAGTCACCATGTCTGTGGCTATGGAAACTAACCCACTGTGTACATACAAAGCAGAGTGCCCGGCACACAGTAAGTGCTTTACGAGGACACATCGTTAACAGTAGGGGAGGCAGTACCACTGGGAGGGCCAGGGCTTGTGACCTGGAGCTAATCCGTCCGTGATGGAGTCCTGGCTCCTCCATTTAATGAGCTGTGTGACCTTGGCCAAAGTACTAAATCTCTCTGTGCTTCTATTTCCTCCCAAAGACCCCACTGCCAAATTGGAGATTAGCTCTCAACATATGAATTTTGGGGGAAACAAACATTCAGTCCAATGCATCAACCTTTTGATTTTTGCTGGAATTTGAGGAACTGAAGGAAGAAGAAAAAAAAATACCTAACTTTCAAAAAGGATAACATAATGGTGGAAAAAAAAACTGAACTGAACTAAGTTTTATTTTTAAAAGCACACCAACTTGGCTATCATTTTTAGTGACCAACTGTGCAAACAGCCACCACTCAAGGCAGGGGACATTGTTCCATTTTACAGATGAAGGAAACAAGACTGGAAGCCATCAGAGACTCATAGCAGAATGTACCATTTCTCTCTTGTCCTGGGTTGGGACTGGAAGGGGGTGGGGGCTGCCAGGGTACAGATCCTGCACTGCTCCCACCTACAACTGGAATTTGGTAAAAGGCAGCAGATGTCTTTGACTTGACTCCTGGGGGCATGAAAATCAACCAGAAAAACCAGTTTTCAAGGTATATTTCTGGAGCCTTTGCCGTTCCAGACCTTGTCAGCTTTTCAAGGTTTCATGGGCTGCTAATCCCACAGGCTTTGAGTCAACTTGATTTTCTATTTCAAGCGTCCTCTCGGCATCAAAAAAGAACCGACATGAAAGCAGGTAAGCACAGGACGATGCATGAGACAGAGAAAAGTCTCTCACTGGAAGGAAAATGTTATGGCATAAGTCAGAACGATTTTTAAATCAGCTCAAACTGATTTTTCTTACATCAAAGACTTGGGAGAATAAACTTCTTTCTCATCCTGCTGTTCGTCCTCCCTGGGGGCACATCCATGCCTCTAGTTTAACAAATGACTACTGGGGAATAAATCTGCAGGTTCGAGAAATGCTCTATCATCTACCTGTGGCTGGGGGATGATCTGCAGAGAAGACGGATGGGGAGAGAGAAAGCGGCGGTGGGGGGTCGGGGGAGGAGGAGAAGAGGTGGTTTAGAGGGAAGGATGGTGGGGGGGGTGTTCCCAGGAACCGAACTCATCTCTCTCCTTCAGCTTGTTTTAGGAGAATTACCAAGTCAAGCGCTTTTCTCCGAAGGGTACGGAAAAAAAAAAAAAGACCAGCGCCCGTCTTTCGTGGCGACACCAGCAGAAGGCGCATGGCAGCTGTTGGTTTTGGTTTCCATATCCATTGCTGTCACCAGAGCTTTCAGCAGCTCCTCTTGGTCACCAGGGTCATTTTGATTCCTTATTTTCTATTAGAAAGGGCTAATTTGGAAGCTGTCTGTAGAATGTGCCACCATATGTTACCCATTCAACAAACTGTCCCAATTATGGGAGCCGAGCTGAGGGCGTGCACGGCATCCAGGCTCTTTTACTCATTAACTTCGCTGGCCCCGGAGACAGCGTGCACTCACATTCTTCCCGCCTCTAACTTGTCGTCGTGAAAGCTCCGAAGTGGCCGAGCACAGGGCTGAGTGGAAAATAACAGGACAATAATAATACGTTTAAAACTGAACAGCACATTCTGGCCTGCAGAGCACCGCCGGGCGGTTAATCACATTTGGTTCTTTCACCAGCTACGAGGATCCTCCTCGTCTCCAAGGGGAGGTTGCTCGGGTCCTGCCTCTGGTCGCTGGGAGGGGGAGAAAGCACATCTGTCAGCATGGTCCTAATTTTTCCAGTTGACTCTTTGGTGGAAAACGTGGACACTAAGACAGAGGGTCTCCAAGCTCCGCCAAGAGTCTGAGGAGTCTGGTCATCCAAGGCATCAGAAAACAGCATGTGTGCCTCACAGCACTTTGATTTTGGACCACACTCTTGGAGGCTGCCTAACCCACCACACTAGTGGTGCGGGCACTTGGCCAAGGCAAGAGAAAGTTGACTCTTCTTTTATTTTCAACTGCAAGGCCCAGGCAGTATTCTCGCTTGCTTGGTCTCCATCACAGTAAGAGGCTTCAGGTCCCCTGCCTTAGTCTTTACCACTCGGAATATTAAGATCCTTGGCAGCTTCTGTGAAATACGAATTACTTTCAGCAGCTTTTTAAAAACTAAATCCCATGTCTGTTGTGTTAACAGGTATCTGTATATACTCAAGACATCTTCTTGACTGGTTGCCTCTTTAGGGACTTAATTTTCCTGTCAATGATATGAAAAGGTCTATAATGGCTGTTAAGGCTTTTACAAGAGAGGTTGATTCAATCTTTTATAGAATATTTCACTTTTGCAATTGATAACATGTACACAGTAAATGAATGGATGCGAATGGAACTGAGTGGCAGTGTCAAGATGACAGTGTTCGTAACTGGACTGACCTCGTCTTAAAAGGGCTGGCGTCCCAGCAGAGATCATGGATTCCGATCTTTAGGGAGTACGGCTCAGGAATCAGTAACTTCCTAAACTTTTCAGTCACTCTAATGTGTAGTGAAGATTGAGAAGTGCCATGCGAAATCATCCCCATGCCATTAGCAACTAAATGAATAAAATCAGTCTTGTTTGTTCTTTATCTGACCTGCCAACTCAATTACATTATTCTGTATTCTCGATTGGAGTCCACTGTAAAGCTGGATCTACTAAGGTGGGTTCGCAATCCAAGATGCACATGGAATGACCAGAGGAAATTTCAGAGGAGCAGACATCGGAGACGAGAGTTGGACATTCGGATTCAGGGGGCTGTGGTAGGGGTGGGTCCAGGCATGCGCATTTATTAAATGCTCCAAAGGCAATTCTGATGAAGAGTTGGCATTAAAACTGTGGGATTAAGGCTTTGGTTCACAACCAGGGCCATTTTTTAATTCTTCATGGCACATTTGGCAATGTTTGGAGACATTTTTGTTTGTTACAATGGGGAGTGGGGGGCACGGTACTGGCATCTTGTGGGTGGAGGCCAGGAACGCTGCTCAGTATCCAGCAGGGCATGGGATCACCCCCAGTAAAGCAATACTCAGCCCAAAATGCCAACACTATGGCTCTCGAGAAGAGCTTACTAAGGTGTCATGCTCACCACACCTATTACTTTAGAGCATCAGTAAAGTCTGTGTTTATAGGATATTATGAAATTACAGATTCTTATTTAAAGTGAATCAACACGAATCAAAAGACAAATTAAGATAAAACAAAACAGCTCAAACACTGGAGAAGCTCACCCAATTCTATTTTGGTTTGTGAAGTAAAACACTGAGTAGACACTAATGATTAACATTTTGACAGCCTCGTTAATTTAGCATTTTGATGGCATTTATTTAGACTTCATCAGGCATTCTTTAAATGGCATTTGATAGAATTAAGCTGTGAAAAAGCTATCTTGTAAGAATACAGGCTTATTCAAATCTCAGGTAGTTTTAATATTTCCTTTTTCTTTTGAAAGTGGATTTTAGAAAATAAAGCTAGAAGACAGTGGGTACCCTGGTGTGTGAAAGTTTATACACTCATCTGGAACACCTGTAGTTTGAGTTACTTTAATTGTCACGTGCTACTAATCAAGAATTAAGTGTCTAGTTCTAGGCTAGGATTGGAAGCCCTGTCGATACAGATTTCAGACTCAAAGTATTAAACTCCGCGCTAACTCCTCATCCTTGTTAGCCGTTGTTTAGTCCCCGGACATCTTTATTCTGTAAGACGCTTCACCTGTGCAAACACAACAGACCTTGCTATCAATCTCACTGCTCCCCAGCGCAGACTGAATCACGTAGAGCAGCGCGTCCGTGAGCCCGTCGCACTCCCGCATCCTCCTGCGGGCTTCCTCTCCGGCCGAACTAACGTTCCTGCAAAGCAAAAAGGGTGTGTCAGCAAATGAATGGATCTCCAAAACAGAAAGAGACACACAGGCATAGAAAGCAAACTTAAGGTTACCCGGGGCAGTGAGGAGGGGGAGAGGAGGAGTAAATTGGGAGTTTGGGATTTGCAGATACACACTACTATGTATAAAATAGATGAATGACAAGGTCTGAGTCTATAGCACAGGGGACTGAATTCCATATCTTGTAATAGCCTAAAATAAGAAGAATATGAAAATGAATATACGTATATAACTGAATCACTATGCCATACACCAGAAATTAACACACCATTGTAAATCGACTATATTTCAATTAAAAAAAAGAGAGGTGTCAGCATCCTTCATGGTGGTCATCAAAAGAGCGTTCTTTTGCCCACCTGCTGAGATAGCTTTAATGAAAACACTGCCTTTTCAAAGCATGTACCAAGAATATAGTTTTAATGAGTAGGAATGGCTTCCACAAATGCCTCCTAGAACCGGCTGAATCACGATGTCTGCAACGGAACACTAGAGAGGGAGAATGCAGAACTCCAAACACGCCATCCCTGACAGTCCTGCGACCGCTAAGGACGGAGACTTTGGAAAAGTCTTCAAGGTCTGCTTCCCTTACATTCGACAAGGGAATCAGAAGCTCTTTGATTCAAAGGATTCCTCTTCTTTGAGAAGGCTGAAATTCCTTTCAAAGACAAAGCTTCCAACTTAGTGAAATATCTTACAGCCCTAAGTTCACCTGCCTCAAAAATATACCTACCTTGGCCCCACCAGAGGTAAACTTCTAAAATTTATCCCAAGAACATAAATAGAGGTTTAGGTGAAAACTGAGTCATCGGAGTGCCCATGGCACCTTTTATGGGTCGGAGAAGCCCAGGCTCCTTCCTGTAACGGCAAAGGGAGCTAAAGCCAACCGAAGGGGCCTCTTGTAATGGACACACAGCTGGGAGGCAGACAGCACGTCTCGACCTACAAGACACGAGACAATCCAGTCGAAGGTGAATCGTCGGGGTGCTTGTCGTCACGTTCTTCGTCTGCTAACCACGGCTAGGATGCACTTCCAGTAGAGACTTTTGCAGTGACTGACTCAGGGACAGCACAGCCTTTTGGAGGGGTGCTGGAGGAGGTGAGTTAACAGAAGGTACCAAGGGACAGAAAGAATTTAGAAACTTGGGGAAGGGTGATGGAAAGAGAGAATGATCTAGGTAGGGCAGTGGCTCTCAAACTATGGCTAGCAAAATAATCACATGGAGGGTGTGTTCCTGTAAATTGCTGGGACCCACCTAGGGAGCACAGGTGGAGTCGGATAATTTGCATATTTGGTGATGCTGACATTGAAAACCACTGCTCTGGCTCTAGTTCTGGTGGGAGGGTTTGGTTGGGGAGGGTAGTGTTCTCTGCTGACTGCTGAGGCCCACCACGTGGCAGATTTCAAGAATCTGTCACCTTGGGCAGAACCCACAGGAGTAGTTGGATAGAACGGATCTCCAAAAACACGCTGTAACTGACAGAGGTATTCTCATTCTGTTTTCCCAACAACCTTCCCCACTATACTTCATTCTGTTCAACATATGAGAAAACGGAGGCTCCGAGAGGTTGTTCAACGCCACATACATAGAAAATAGAGAAGCTGGAACAAAACCCAGGTCGGTGAAGCAGAGGAAAGCAAGGGCTTCAGGCGTGATATACAATATGGACTATATTTTTTTAGGAATTAAATCAAAATAAAATAGGCTCAATGCTAAAGTACTACTGAACATAAATGTTTTCTTTAATGTCTAAAAAATTCTGTAGACATGTTTACATAGGGTGTATCAGCATTTTCGTGTAACACTGGGAAAGGTTATTCAATTCAAATTAGTATTTTTGGCATTTGCTGATCTTGAAATATAAACAAAACTCCTCAGTTCCTTAGGTAACATAACTGAGCAAATACGAGAAGTGTTTTTAAGTGAAATGTTACAGATTCTGCCTTGGGGGGCCACCCCCCGTTTCTGACAGAATCCTTGGGAGGGAGGAAGGACTCCTCCTGGGAGAGAAACAGTGGTGAGAGGCACGCTGCATTATCCAAACTAGAAGGATGGCCATTTTAAGAGAGTATTTTCAGACCACTCATCCTTGAAATGATTTTCAGCAGGTTGAACTTGGACACTGAGAGAGTAATAGGTTTGACAAAAGTTCTGATCAGATCTCTTTGGTCAGAAGAATGCTGGGTGCAATATATGATTATGTGTCTTAAATCCTGCCCCTTCATGCTGTGATGAGGTCATGTTTCCAGACAGAAAGATGGAATTTTGACTTGAAAGAACTGAGGGATAGCTCTTGCGCACCTTAGTCTCAAATATCCTCTACACTTTTCCTTCACTGATGAATGCTGTCTTCCCTGTGCAGCGTCACGATGGGGGCAGGCTGCCTCTTGATTCACAAATACACATCATAATGATCAGCCCTATTTTCATTGGTAATCAATGAACAGGCAGGGCCAGCCAAGGGGAACGATCAGGAATTAACAACTCTGTCAACATCGTAAATTTCTGATATCAATTTGAGCATTTTTTCTTTATTCTAGTTCCTGTTCGATTCTAGTCTAATCTCTAAAATTAAAAAAAAGTTACTAACTGGCTACTATATTAAAATGTGTAAGACACTGAGAAATGAAAAAGACTAACAAGTTATATATATTTTTAAGTGAATTGAGGTATGAACATGTCTCTTTTTCAGTGGGTAACGGTGTCCTACAAGCCTTTAGTTTGGTTGGGTTGGGTTGGGTTTCCACTTTTAATCAACTATCCCTGAACAAGTGAATTGTATCACAAGATTATCTTTGGTTTCTCCCTCTGGAGGAGAGGAAGGTTTCCTTTACTCCCTAGCACAAAATTTATTACACTTGTATGTTTCACTGTTTAAAAAGAAAAAGCCCAGTGACCTTGTGTATTGGTCACTGAACAAGTTAATCGTAATTATGGTCCTACGTAAGTGTTTTCACAGAGAGTCAATGCCCAACCTACAAAGTTCTTCCCTGCTGTTGTACTTAAACCATCTTCTGCTCACATTAGGGGAGTGATTTTCATGTCTTGCTAGAAACTGGTACAGCAAAATTCTATGCACAAATGTAGCATTAAAACAAATACTTGTAGCTATTTTTTTAAAAAGCACAATGATGCTATAATTTCTATGCCTTAGAAGTAATTTTTATAATCTTGATGGAATTGTCAGTTGATATGTCACTTGAAAATTTCTGCCTAAAGTGGATTCTATAATCTTTTTATCGAATAGATGAAAAATGAAACAATTTATTTCTATAGCTTACAATTAAAAGATATGACATCTCTTGCCATCATTCTTACTCAAATGTAACTAGCTAAACTGCTTTATTTTCCCTATCTTCAGTGCTGTTTGGCATCTCATTTCTCTGAGCTTCCATCACTCACTATGTTCATTAAAAAAAATTTAATATACTGTGCTCGTAGGGTCCAAAGTGGAATTTACACGAAAGGCTCCAGTTTGCACGTCTCCACTTCAGATGGTCCGGATATGGGGGATCAAATCACATAGAAAAGCAAGGGATGAAAGTTTGAGTAATCAATCTGTTTGAAATCAGCCTCTCCCTTCTCCATACTCCCTTAGCTCTTTGAATCTTATTGATTGCTTATTGATCACCATTGATTTTGCATTGGCAATATTTAGGCTGTGACCTTATTGCTGCACTGGGACTTTCAAGGGGGCAGAAGGCATGTCATGGTTATTTGTATGCCCAGCGTGCAGCTGAGTGCCCGGTACATCCGAGGTGCTCAATGCGAGCTGGCTATTACATGCGTGCTTAGCTCTTGCAATGGACTGGAATTCACATGGAGTCCGGAACTGAATCACCTCTGTGCTTATTGGATAAGTATCAGATGTCTGTGACACCATCCATGCAGGCTTCTACTGCGATTTCTGTTCTGCCACTACAACCACCATCCTTGTAAACTTGTTCAGCTTGAGATCTGAAGTTTCTTATGATCGTTGATAACACTGATCATACGCACTGAGTGCTGGAGCGAACTGCACGTTTGCTGCCGGAGGCCAATCAGGCTCTCCCTGGTGTCACACCCACCTCGCCCACAGGTCTGTAGGAAGAGTTTTCTGGTTCAAGACTACTTTGTCTCCCTGTGCTGTTACCTCCTTTCCTCTCCACCTCACCTGATTCTTGGCTTTTATAATCTGGCCTCCAGTGGGGTCATCTCATACCTGGCCCACGCCCCTTGAGTCCTGGGTTCCAGCCCTGCTAAAACTCCGTACCATCCTTCCTATTGGCCCAGCCCTGCATATCTCTGGGCTCCTTGGCCTCATCTCCCAACTTATAATCAGCAGAGCCCAGATGCTGGGTCTCTGCAGGATCTGGGCTGGGTTCCTGAGACTGTAAACATGTGTGAGCGGTGGGACGGGGCGGCCAGAGGGCTTTAGAGAGCAGAGCTGAGGTCGTTTCAAGAAACACAGGTAGTCTGGAGGCAAAGCTGAAATATGAAGCCACCCACTCAGCAAGGCCTTGATGCCAACACATCAGGACAGGCAGGGGAGAGACAGAATCCATCACAGGTGACAGCACAGGGCAGATCTGATGTTCAAGTGGGTCTGTCTTTGCGGGGAGGGGTGGGAAGCATCCTCTTCTTGGTTGTCTGTTCCTTGCTCCCCACTACATAGGACCGAGCAGGAACTCAGTGAATGATTGCCGAATAACATGTTTTCAGGGCTGTCTACTTCTAGCCAGTAGTTCTCAACCATGGTGGTTTTTGCCCCCGGGGAACATTTACTAATGTCTGGGTGCCTTGGAACATTTTGGTTGTCACAGCTGCAGAGGGAAGGGTGTTCCTGGCATCTAGTATCTGCACGTGGTCAGGGCTGCTGCTAAACATCCTGCGATGCCCAGGACCAGCCCCCCAGGGAAGAATGCCGTGTGGAGGCTGAGGACCCTGTGCCGGGTAGCTAGGCTCCCTGAGGGTCTGATCTGCAGGG